AGTATATTTGGGCTGGGGATGTGGCTCAAGCGGTAGCGTGCTCGCCTGGCATGCGTGCGGCCCGGGTTCGACCCTCAGCACCACATATAAACAAAGATGTTGTGCCCGCCGAGAACTAAAAAATAAATATTAAAAAATTCTCTCTCTCTCTCTCTCTCTTTAAAAAAAACTGTAGTAATTCAACTTCACCGTTTAGAAAGATAAAATTTCTCAAAACATATAGGTTTTATAATAACTCTTGGTACATATTTCCAGTTGAAGAATAAATTTGTTTCACCACTTTCCTTCCTTTGCTTTATCAATTATTAAGAAAGTTATTTTAGTCATTTGTTATCAGTCTCTATTTAGTTTCTTCCCCTTGTGCCTAAAGTAGTTGATGATTACCAGCTAAATATATAACCAGTTAAATCTGTAAATTTGTATAGATTGCATGTAAAAATTAAAAAAACTCAAACAAAACAAAAATCCCACAATACGTTAGACTTGTCATCTTCACATTTTAGCCTCTGCCCTACCTTGATAGAATGTTGTTAGAAGCTTCTCTGCTGTAGGTCTTCAAGTATGTATGTAATGATGGCATCTTTCCAGTGTTAGAAGTACTAATCTCTCTTACTCTTAAATAATGGCCCACATCTTATATCTTGAATTGCTTCTTGCAACCTTGGATGTGGGACAAGTATATAATAATGAAATGAAGAAGTTCATCCTTGTGCTTCTAGAGAGGCTGGGTAAGGCATTGAGCACTTGTGTGGCTGCTTCCCCAAACACAAAGAGGGAGAAAACAGAGTACAGACCATGTGTGTAATGAGGATCTGTGTTAAGGACACAGGCTTGTGGGAGGCAATGGAGCTGGAGTGGGCCCAGGGAGGATAAGTGGCTGTGCTGCTTGAAGTGTTGAGTCCTTCAGTGATACTATCAATAATCTCAACATTTGTAAGAGAAGCCAAGCAAAGTAGATTTATTTCTCTAAGCTTGACAAAGAAGATGGATAAAGAGTCTGAAAGGACTAGAGGGACTTAGGTTGGGATTTTGTACAGGGCCTGAATACTTGCATATGATGGAATTGGGAATTTGAAGCAAGTTTACATAGAGAACCAAGGTACAAGGCCAGGCACTGTGGCACATGCCTATAATCCCAGCAGCTTGGGAGGCTGAGGCAGGAGGATTGCAAGTTCAAAGCAAGCCTCAGCAACTTAGTGAGACCCTGTCTCATAAAAAGGGCTGGGGATGTGCCTCAGTAGTTAAGGCCCCTATGTTCAATTTCTAGTATCAAAAAAAAAAAAAAAAAAGAAAGAAAGAAAAAGAGAGACTCAAGGAACAATGATAGGCACATGATATAGTATCTGAGTATAAAAGTGACCTAAACTTGAGTAGTTCATAAAATAAAAAGAAATAGATTCAGACAATATCTTTGCTTTGGCATGAAATGACTAACACTATAACGGTATTTAAGTAATTTTGCAAAAACAAGTGTTGGATTCTTGGACAGTATCTTTAGCAGTATCTTGAAATGAAGTGCTTCAATTAGGAAGCTGCTGCTCTATGTATGGATGAGTGAAAATGTGCTAACTGACCATTTGGAAAAGATTTAATAGGTAGAAGAGTGATGGAAAGAGACATTTGAAACACCGTGCCAGTTCATTCAGGCTAACAGTTACTGCATGTGGCAAAAGTACATAGAATGTATTTAGAATACCTAGTTCCTATTTTAGTTGTGTTAACCCTCCTTTTAGTATTTAGATCATTTTGCCAACACTAGGATAAAAAGTAGGCAGCTTGTCTTAAAGCCCTCTAAAAATGGAGAATGTGTCCCTTCTTGATTTGTTTGTGACAGAAGTAATTAGGAGGTCTGTAGGGAAACTTTTTTGTTCCTTTTAATATATTCATACCCAAGGAAACTTGAGAAAAACCTAATTCTGGCTGGATTTTATATGCTTTTTGTTCTTTGATTGAGAAACAGTAGATTAAAAAGTATATTAAGAATTAGGTATTCCATGATGAGATCTGTTCTTAAAAAATTAAAAGAATGGAGATATGATTGTGAAGAATGAAGCAAAAACTGGTGTAAGAAAAGTTTGAGATTTGAAGGAGATGTATTTTATTTCAGTTAAACACCTAATACTTTTAAATTTCTTTCTAGTTTTGAAAATTGGATTATATGTAACTAAGTTTTTGAAAATTTGATTTTGGCTTTGGCTAAAATGTGAAAGTGTCTTGTGTCTCAGTTTTCCTGGCCAACACTTCTAGGTATTAAGGCCCAGCACCTCCTGCCACACCCAGTGTTTCTGTTGTTGAAAGGCACAGGGAGATGGCCAGGTTTCCATGTACTGAGAGAGGTAAGCTGGGAAGGCAAGGACAGCCTGTCCTGGTGTCCCCTTTGTCTTAACTACGTATCCTGTCAGAATGCAATCACAAGCAAATTTATTTTTAACTTATTGACCTGTTCATTTCATTTTAGGATAATCCAGTTCCTTTAAAAGCACTCACTCCTTGTAATAGAAATAGTGGTATACTCAGGGAAGGGGAAGTGTGGCCAGTGGTAAGAGGGAGATTGAGTTTTACTTTTGGCTTTTGTACAGTTTATATGTCTTTTTTATTTATATTTTTCTCTGTCTCTGGGGTTAAACACAGAGGCTGGCACATGCTGGGTAAGTGCTGTTCCACTGAGCTACGTCCTCAGCTCTTATTTTATCTTTGAGATAGGGTCTTACTAAGTTATTCAGTTAGTCCTACCTCAAACTCCCAAGTAGCTGGCTTACAGGCATGAACTGCTTCACTTGGCTATGTTATATATATATATATATTTTAAAGAAATTTAAAAAAACAAAAAGAGCCCTCCTTAAAAACTCCCATCTCCTGATAGGAGCCTGGGCTTTCCCATGTTACCCCCAAGAAACTTGTGTGATTTACTTTGCACCCATTCCTGTTTTCACCCCCAGTTTCTTTTGCTATTGAGGAAAGCATTTTCTGGATTCATTGACTTTTTTCCCCCCCTCAGCTCTAATTTTATAATCCCTACCCCTTTCACAGAAGTCACCAAAGATTTTTTTCACCGAGAAATGAGTAAACTCCTTTGAAACCCAGTTTGACCTTTCTGGGTCATTTGAGATTTGTGCTGTCTCTTCCCAGCCTTTCTGAAACCATCATCTCCTGGTTCATTTTGACCCCCTCAGTCCACCTTCACACAGTCCGCATCTTTCCTGTCATTCCATTCTGCATTCTCTTCCTGAGCCATCTCATTTCCTCTCAGGCAAGATTGCCTGTGTCAGTGGCTGTGACCTCTCTCCTGAGCTCTGCACCTGTGTGCTCATACTGGCCCACTTGGCATTCCATGGGCACCTCAGGATCCAAGTATCTCCTCCTGAACTTGTTATCCATTCCCTTGTCATCCAAATCCTTATTTTTTCCCACTTGCTATATTTTAATACTAGTACCCAAGCCAGAAACCTGAGACTCATCCTAAATTTTTCCTTCTGCCTCATAGGAGTTTGGAATTGTAGCTAGCCTTTCTGTAACACAGATAGGTTGGCTTTGTTTCATTTTACAAATAGAATGCTAATTTAGGTAGCATCATTTCATTTGGACTTGGGAAGAATTTCACAGGTATGAATATTCTGTCCTTGTTAAAAGTGGGAGACAAATCATTTCAATTATTTCTCCGTGTTCACAGTTCTGTTTTTGAGTCTGTAAGAACCTCTTTCAGAGGCATTGCTGCATTTGAGATTCATGTTTGGTTTTTAAATTTGAAACTAAATCATCAATTATATAATTTTGCAGAGCTTGTATTTTATTATTATAGCATGTATATTGTATTTTGTTTGTTTTTTCCATTCAGTCACTTAAACTAATAGTATATTTTTTAAAAAAATATATTTTGTAAATGGACACAATACCTTTATTTTATTTATTTATTTTTATGTGGTGCTAAGGATAGAACCCAGTGCCTCACACATGCTAGGCAAGTGCTGTACCACTGAGCTTACAACCCCAGCCCTAAACAATAGTATCTAGAGTATGGCGGTATACATCTGTAATTCCAGCCACTCAGGAGGCTGAGGGAGGAGGATTACAAGTTGAAGGCCAGTCTGGGCAATTTAACAAGACCTTGTTTCTAAAATATGAAAAAGGCTGGGGTTGTAGTTCAGTGGTAAAGAACCCCTCGGTTCTGTCTCTAGTACTGCCAAAAAATAAGTATCTCATACAAAATTAGAATTACCTTTAATGTTGCCTTAGTTTCTTTTGTATTAAGTATATTAAAGAATCAAATAACTACTAGATTAAAATGATTAAAATTTATACCTGTTATGTGACATTTTATATCTACCATATCATTTAATTCAATAAATCCAGTAACTTGGTACAGAATGGGGAAGAACTCAAAATCAGAGATGTTACTTAATTTGCCCAGATTACATTGCACTGGTGGCTGCTCCTCTCAGTGGTTCCTTCTGAAATTTTTAATCTTTTTTTTTGGTGTTTGTGTGTGGTACTGGCCATTGGCCAGGACCTTGTGCATGCCAGGCAAGGGCTATACCACTGAGTACCACCCCTGGCCCCTGAGGTTCTTTAGACATCAATTTGAGTTTGACCTGTGCATCCCTTAATTATACTTAAAGACTGGATTTATGGGCATCTGTTTTTTCTTGGGAAATGATTTCCACACAGTGTTTTTTGCTTGTCAGTCAGTGGCAATTTATGATGGGAGATTTGGCAGTAATTCAGTGCCATCACCTGGATTATGCATAGCTGTGAGGTGATGTAGAAGTAGATAATGAAGTTGATTGCAGTACGATTTAAACAGAATTTATGTTTTGTAATTTTAATTAGTGGAAAGTGATTTTAATACAGCCTTCCAAAAATAATTACTAAGAGACAATTACTCATTGTTTTATGGGTTAATAATCTCTCTGCCTGCTTGGTTTTGTATTACTAAAGGAGGGACTATCTGAAGAGTGTTATGGCCAGTAATTCAATTCATTCTCTCTCTCTCTCTCTCCCAGTGCAATGAAACCTCATTCTTTTTTGAAGCTCGAAGTAAAACCGCTTGCAAGCATCTCTGGAAGTGCAGTGTAGAACATCATACATTTTTTAGGTATGTTAATTGGATAGTTTTGTTCATCATTTCTAATACATGAAAATGGCACTTTTTTATAGTGGAAATTATGTCCAACAGAAATTTTAAAGCTTTTCTCTTTTGTTTATTTTGGCTCAGTTCTCTGGATGGCATTAGATAAGCATCATATACACGTGTGTGTACATATGTACATGTTTGTAAACATACATGTATATACATAACACAATGTAGACAGTACTTACACTGTAAGAAAGGATCAAGTATTCTGGAAATCAAGTATTCTGCTGTGGACATAGTAAATTTGAAAAGCCTATGAGCCATCCATGTGGTAAGGCAATTGGGTATACAGGGCCCGGTGGAAAGGTGAAGGTTGATGGTGTAACTTTAGTAGATATTTAATACAGAAGGGATGGGTTGAGATCAACTATGGAGAAAACAAAGAGAGGGAAACTCAGAAACCTAAGAACTGAGCTTTGGAGACAAGAAGAGCCAGCTGAGGGACATGAGAAGGAACAACCAGGAGAGGATGTCATGTACTGGGATATCAGGAATAGGGGGCCAGCAACTATGTGCAGCCTTCTGGGGAGGGCAAGTAAGATGAGGACAGAGAACTGACTACTGGATTGTGGGGACCTTTTTCCTTATTTCACATCCTTGTGTCATAAAGATAAGATAAAATTTTAGCAGATAATACTTTAAACTTTATTGCTTTATTTTTGTGTATAAAAAATTAAAACAGGATTGAATTCTCCCCCTTATTCCTGGAGAATTTTGATTTGTATAGAACAGTTTAGCTGAATTGCATAGTGTTGGAGAAGTATTTTTGTAAAATGACTAAAGTCCTCTTTATGGTTTGTGTCAGGGGATGAACATGGCCCAGGAAGCCTAAGACTTTGCCTGCAGGTCAGTGGGACAGGGCTGGGAGCCATGGCAGTGTCTGTTGAAAGTGCCCTGGAATGGGAAGTCCTGGAACACATTATACAAACAAGAGCAAAACATCATATCTGTCATGATTGACTTATGAGAATCTTAGGAAGAGTAAATCAGCATAGTGACAAAATTCCCAAGATAACTTAAACAGAGAAATTTAATTCACAACTAAAATCTCCTAGGACAATAATGTGTATGATAATTTTTAGAAAGTATGAGTATTTGGTATCATACATATGTAACATCCTAAGGTGTGGATGTGTGTCACATATGAACTTACAATAGCCAATTCCTGATTCTTTCACTAGCTTTGTTAAACTGTATTGTACTGTTAAGTTTTCAATACAGCTTTTTGTTCAAATATTGTACAAGTATCTGCATTTATGAGTCTTTGGTTTTCTTTTTAAAATTAATTAGAATGCCAGAAACAGAATCAAATTCATTGTCAAGAAAACTCAGCAAGTTTGGATCCATCAGTTATAAGCATCGGTACAGGTAAATGGTATTTTTTTTCTTGGGGTATGTGCCTGTAAATAAGTATTTAATTCAGCTGCCCACATACATGCACAAGGAAGTGTGCGATTTAAATTTTTTCTTATTTTACCCACAGTGCCAGTGTGTTTTGTAAGCATAACAACTTATTAAAACTTTGTTGACAAAAATGATTTTCCAGAATTAATTATACTTAATGTCTGTATTAGCTATGTTAAGTTTAGGACTTTTAGAATATAGTATAACTTATTGTCTTCAGAATTTTATTTTGATTCAATTATCACTTATTTCTAATTTTATTCTATTATGATGAAACAAAATAGATATTCTGAATATTAACGGATGGATTGTGTTCTTAAGATCTTCAGTTGATCCCTTATTATAACACAACATATACTTTATACTGTATATCAAACACACTGTTGATGTGCAAAATTATTGTATGTATATAGTAATGAAACAATTAACATTATATCTTGACTTAATCTGAGCAGCTACTAAATGCCATTGTTGTGCTGTTTTCCATTTATTGCTTCATTTAGTCATCATAATCTTCTGTAATATTATCTTTATTAATATATGAGGAAACTGAGGCTCCGAGAGGCCAAGTGGCTTCTTACGATAACACAGCTAAGAAGCAGTGAGATGGGATTCACACCCTAGCATTCTAACTCCACAGCCTGTCCTTTTAACCATTAGACAGATTAGCTTGTTGGAGAAAAAGCCTGACTGTCATGCAGCTAGGTAGGTGTTTGTGTCTTTTTCTAATACCAGCATTAAAAGTGGAAGTGAGATCTATATGGAAAAAGGATTTGTTTTAATTCATTCTGTTCAGTGGAGAGCCTGTGGTGTGCAGGGTATGGTATCAAGAGTCCAGAGACACAAAGAATCAGATCTAACCACCTCTGCCTTCAAAGAGCTATAGTATTCTTCAGGTGGCGCTGCATGACCCCAGGTCTTGAAAACCCATACAGGGTGCAGAAATGCCACACAGCTGGTGGGACGCTGTTCTGTTGGTTCCATTGGTGATGTCACTGAAAGAAATGATTGCACAGGAGATTTGAAAATAAAGCCCACTCAAGTGTTTATAGGACAGCACTGTGCCAGGTTTTAATTCTCCTCTTTTAATAACTCGCTTTTTGATTCTTAAATTTGAGACCAAAGACAATAAAGGAGTGACTAGTAGTGAATTCGTTTGTACACAATATTCAGTTGAATGTTTGCTTATTTGATGACTAAAACTAAAAATGTTAATTGTATTATAGATATTCCTGGTTTTTAATATGAAGGTATTTATTGATGTTTCAATATTTAACCTGCAGCTTTTCAAGGTTCTGCATAGAAAGTGAAATAATTACAAGTAGTTTAAGGAAAAGATTCTTTACTTTTATACTGAGAAGAGTAGCCAGTAGCCAGTATGTAGGCTGTTCTTCCAGTTGTGGCATAAAACACTGCCAGGGTTATAAAGAAAATGTGTAAAGCTATCTCCTTGTCACCAAAATGGAGCTAGTGAACAGACATCTGCCTTAATGTTTATACTATTAAAATTATAATTAGGGTGTTTAACATATGCTGTAGTTGGCTTCCACAAATTTAGCCACACCTGATTTCTCAAATTTATTGAAATGCAAATGTTGTGGCTACTGGGAATTATTATTAGAAAGTTATTGGATTTTGCATATTTAATATGATTTCTTCCAAGAATGTAATTAAAGGTAACCTTTGCAGAATTGGAGGTTCTGCTAAATCTGTTCTAATTTCTTGGCTAATGTTAACTGCCGAGTAAGTCTTAATGAAACGCAAATCAACACATCCATACGTAGGAAGCACTAACCTAACACAACCCTTGGAAGAAAGCTGTTTTATCCTTGTAGACAGAGCTTAGGCAGGGATGGGTCTCTGACTTCTGGATGGTCATTAGCACACAGATGGTTTATTGTCAAAAGACAACACACAACCCACCTTTATCCAGCATCATATGCCTGTCTCAGTTTTGAGACAGTCAGGCAATATCCTCACCTGCAAGCAGAGCTCTGAAACACAGACAGCTCCCTGCTTCACCTTGCAGGCTTTAGAGTGTTGGGGAAAAATAGCAGCCTATGAAATGGCTGCAGTGTGTGAATGTGAGTCTCTGTGCACATAAGGGTGTGCGTTTATATTAGTATATATGAATATTTTGAGGGGTGTGCATTTACACGTATGTGGTATGTACATGTATGTGATGGAGGAAGACAAGTGTTCTAGTCTTTATTCTGTCTTCCATTTTAGGGCTTTCAGAATGCCAAGGAGATTACTATATCTTTTGGGAAATCTAGTAATTACTTAATGGAAAAAACAGACATTTTAAAATTTAACAATTTTTAAATTTTAAAAAAGACATTTTTAGTGATATAGGATAATCAGATTTCAAAATTAAATTGGAGGACAATGACTGAGGTGAAATCAGGTGGTGTTCTAATTTTCTCTCTCTCTTTTTTGGTACTGGGAATTAAACCTAGGGGTGTTTAAACAATGAGCAACATTTCCAGCACCCCCCCTCCCCTTTTTTCCTTTAATTTTTAAATTTTGAGACAGGGTCTTGCTAAGTTGCTTAAGGCCTTGCTAAGTTGCTGAGGCTAACTTTGAACTTGTGATCCTCCTGCTTCAGCCTCCTGAGCCACTGGGATTAGAGGTGTGTATCATTGTGCCTGGCCCTATTTTTTTTTTAAATTATTAGGGACCAACAATCTGAAATGGAGATTGATTAAATATTTGATTGATTAAATGTCTTATTATACATTGCTATTTCCTTTTCTAAGTCCCTTAAAAATTAACTTTGCCCTCATCTGATGTTAAGTGTATAGGAGACTCCTGGTTTTGATGAATGAATAAGTTGTGTGGGATTAGTACTCCAGAAGTGAGAATGAGGCCTGAGAAACCCCACTCCCCAGAAACCCAGATGTTCTTCTCCTAGGACTTAAATCACAGGCGCCCTTACGGGATCTCACATTTCATGAAGCAGAGAAGAGACCAAGTTCTCATGAGAACCTCCTTAGTGTCAGGTGCTTCCTTTCACATGGGCTACTTTATTCATTCTATATGGTGACCTGCCAAAAAAGGTATCAGATCCCCAATTATACAGATGAGAAATTTGAGCACCTAAAATAAGGTAACTGAACTAAGGACCCTTAACCACTAAGTAGCAAATCTGGAACTTGAACCCAAGTGCCTCTCCTCTCCTTCTTTTCCCTCTTGCTCCCTGGAGGCTGAAGGACTTCTGATAGTGTCACTTAACATAGAAGGGGGTGTATGCCAGAGTGTGAGAGGGCAGGGAAGTGGGTGATTGTGGAAATAGAACTCTGCCCTGTCACAATAGAGAGTCCCCAGACATGCAGAGAGACCCTATAACCATACACTGTCAGTTTCTATATGTATTTACTCATCACTTTCTGCTACAAAGAAATAGAATGCTACATAAAACTATTTGTATTAGGATATAGTAAGAACAAATATAAATATATATAAGAAAAATGAGACTGCAGAGATTTTTAAAAATAAAAATCTGCTGAGGACAAGATAGTTAGAGAAAGGCATAGCTATGTTTTCAATAGGGCTTGTTGCTTCAAACCAAAGGCTAATTGTTCTGTCCTTTCTCCCATGCCACAAGGCTGTGCCATTATGACCAACTGAGGGCAGAAAAGTTGGTGTAGTACTGGGACCTGTGCAAACTGTGGCAGATCAGTTTGTTTCTGGACCTTAGCCTTATTAATCTTGTGATGTGATTTTCTCATTTCTCCTCTGTTCCCAAGAGAGAAACCAAGAGGTAAAATTGAATAATAAAGTACAATCTCATTATAAAATGTCTCAGTGGTTCACATATTGGATTATATTTTCACAGCAAATATTTTCTTCCTCTGTGTAATGAGGTACTCAGTGCCCAAGTCTTTCTAAAAACAGAGAAAGTCTTGTGTCAGTAGATCTGATCTTCATACTCCAGTCATTTTTAATAATGAAATTCTGCTATATCTGTGGATTTTTTTTAACTTTTTCAGAAATTTATGTTCCCTTATATACCTTTGAAAAAAATAGGTGTCCTTTCACTTGAAAATTTAACTATCACAGCTTGTTCCCCTCCACTCCAGTTCTCATGAACTGTTAAACATGAAGTACTGTCACGGATGGAATTTGGCACCTTAATTCACAGAGTAGCTCATTCCTGGTAATGTCCTAATTAGCCTGATGAGAAGTTACTTTTTTTTTTTTTTTTTTTAATGAATGTTGTTGCACTTCTCTGTTTTTTTTTTCTTTTTTGGTGGTACTGGGTTTGAAGCCAGGTGCACTCTACCACTGAGCTGCATCCCCAGCCCTTTATGTCTTATATTAAGACATGATCTGGTAAGTTTCCCAGGCTGGCCTCAAACTTGGAATCTTCTGAGTAGCTGAGTTTACAGGCATGTACCACCTCACCTCCTCACCTGGCTACAGTCATCTTTATTTCTAATAAAAGTGGATAGTGAGAAGGGGAAATATTCAAAGAAGCATATAAGATGAATTTCACATTGTTATTGTTTAACCACCTTTTGGGAGACATTTATCAATCTTTATTCTGTAAATGTAGGACAAATAGAATTGGGGGCCAGTAAAAGACTTTTTTTTTCCTCCCAAGATGGCTCTCCTCATAGTGAAACAAAATAAACATATAGAAATGCATTTTTTTCTGTACCTAAACAGTGTTTTTCTTTATGAAAACTAGGGTCATTCACTGGCTCAAATTCACCAGTTGTGGAATTAATTTTTAGTAAAATAGCTGTTCACTGAAATCTAACGAATGAAATTATACAATTCCCTGGGGAAATTACTTAAGAAGCCTTGTCCAGCCCCAGGGGAAGCTCACCCTCTTGAACCCTCATGGAATCTTTAGAGAATATTCTAGGCCTGCTTTCCAGTCTTCCATGTGATCTGTTAGGTGAGGTAGGCACAATAAATGGCTAATTGTGCCACGGTGGGTTTCAGAATAAAACAACACAAAGTGGTCCTGCAGGGATGCTTCACAGCTTGCTCTGTAAGGACAATAGGGGACTTCCCTGTGGGATTGTTGTTCTTGTGTAATTTCACCTGACATGATTTACCATTGAGTTGTGGAGCTCAAGAAATCAGAAACCTTTATTTCTAGCCCATCGTTCTTCTTCTTCTTTTTTTTTTTAATATTTATTTTTTTAGTTGTTGTTGGACACAATACCTTTATTTACTTATTTATATTTATGTGATGCTGAGAATCGAACCCAGGGCCCCACACGTGCTAGGTGAGTGCTCTACCGCTGAGCCACAACCCCAGCCCCCGCCCCCCACAAATCTAACTCCTTCTTTAATAAACTCTTTCTTCCTGTTTCTCCCTCATAAAGATCTTCCTCCTAATATAAATTCCCGTCTAAAATTTAATGTACTTCCTTAGCCAATTTTACAATGAATAATATTAGAAACCTCTGTATGTGGATGGCCAGTCAAGTCTTTGTGTTTATTCTTCTTTACAGCTATTCTGAATGAGCTCTTGTTTAATTTTGTAGCTGTGTGATTTTACCTTTGCTAATCAAAATGTTGCATTTTCAAGTGGCAGGACAGCTTCACAAATGAGCCGAGATCTTTCTATTCAACTTCCCCGGCCTGATCAGAATGTGTCAAGAAGTCGAAGCAAAACTTACCCTAAGAGAATAGCACAGACACAGCCAGTTGGTAAGTCATGATGCCTTAAGTCATCTGTGTAACTTTGCATTTTCTTTTAGGCTCATGGTACAAGACATGCTCAGGTAGTGACTATAATCCTGTATGTAGTCTCTTTATTCCTTTTTTTTCTTTTTTGGTACTGCAGATTGAATCCAAGGACACTTTACTATTGAGCTGCATCCCTAGTTCTTTATTTTTGACAGAGGCCCTCACTAATTTGCTGAGGGGGAGAGTCTTGCTAAGTTGCTGAGGCTGTCCTAGAACTTGTGATCTGCCTGCCTCAGCCTCCCAAGTCATGTACCACTGTACCTGGCTTTTTTTTTTTTTCTTTTTCTTTTTGAGACAGAGTTTGCTAAGTTAAGGCTGGTATTGAACTTGAGAACATACTTCCTTAGCTTCTCAAGTCACTGAGATTACAGGTGTGCACCATCCCACCGGGCTTATAGTCTTCTCGTTCTTACTAGTAGAATATTTAGTTTGACCTTGGTAATATTCAATCAGTAATTATTCATTTGTAGATAAGTAGTCACTTGTAGATAAGTAGTCATCCTGACTTGCTTAATGATTATAGTTTATTTTTGAAAGGGTTTTATTTTATAAATAAAATCTCAGCTTAGTAATTTCTTTGGTGATTTGACATTGAATTGAAACAAACTCTTTGCAAAAGTCTCCTAAAAACAAAACAAACAAACAAACAAACAAAACACTGGTGATGTAACTTAATTTGTACAAAGTTTGTTTGGGTTTTTGTTATTGTTTGTCTTTCAGTATGAAATATAATACAGAAAGTGCATGAAATTCAGACATGCACATGTGTATATGGGCATATATGCATGTGTCCGTGGGTGTGTTGTGTACACAAAGTTTAATATAACTAGTACCCCCCCCATCGAGTCCCTCATGGCATTTCTTTGATCATATTCTCATCATCCAATCTCTCCAGTTAGAAGAAATCCTGTCTAACTTGTGATCATTATTTTCTTACTTTCCATTATTATTTACTTCTGATAGAGCCTTTGCCTGTTCTTAATCAGACATGTGCATATTCTTTTGCATCTTATTTTTTGTATCAACATGACATGTAATGGGTACTAAAGTGTATTTATTTTTCTTGCTGTGAGTATTCCAGAGGTTGACAATTTTATCTCTTCTACTGTTGGTAGACATTTGGGTTTCTTGATTTTTTTTTTTTTTTTGGTTTCTGATGTAGATTATTTCTTTAATAAATTAATCAGTTTTAATTTATATGTTCAGTGCTCAAAGCCCTCAGAATTTTACTGTAAAATAATGTTGCTGACTTGGGTCTGTGGCTTGCTTATAGATTACCCTTGTCTAACTCTCTCCAGATTCATTTCACATGTAACATCTCATTTTAGTCTCACAATAACTTTGTTTGGTGGAATGAGGCAAGTATGTTCACATTTTATAAGTGAGGGAGACACAACCCCAGCAGCTATACAGAGGTAGGGTTGGGGAAGGAACCCAAGGTCTCCTGGGTCTTTCTGTCATATTATGTGAAGTCAATAGAATTTTTAAAAATATCTTTATTTTATTTTTATGTTGTGCTGAGGATCGAACCTAGTGCCTTATGCATGCTAGGCGAGCTCTCTACCACTTGAGCCACAATCCCAGCCCCTGAATAGAATTTTTAATAATAGAAGTAAATCTGAACATCATATGAAAATTTGCAAAGCATTATGACATCTACTGTTTCATTTAATCCTTATTAAATGTCAAGCCTATGAAGTGTATGAGTTTGTTTCACCATTTCTGGGTGTGAAGATGGCATCTGACTTATCATTTCTAAAGCCAAATTAAATCCAAGAAGGTCCCCTTCTTTCATTGAACTGGGAGGAAACAATCCTTTTCTGGTGGTTCTATAGGGGCAGAAATAAAGCATGATTTCAATTTGTAATAGATTACCTTGCCACATCACTGTTACTGTTATTCCTCACTTAGCTGATGAGGAAACTGAAGATTTCAGACAGTTGGTCAGTATTAGTATGGAGCAAGTTCAATTAGTTACCAATTAGTCTGGTTACCAATTAGTCTGAGTACAAGGAGACAGAACACACTCAAGTGTAACAAGTTACATGGAGTAGATTTATTACTTACAGTTAGGTAGCATGGGACAAAAGAAGACTAGAATCTCTTGTGAGTTGGTCCTCCAGAGCTCAGTAAAGCTTCCTGGGACAGAGTCTTAATGGAGTATGCTTCACTTCCACTACACCTTAAAGGACCCTAAAAGGCAGCTCACTCTGGATTACATACCTAAGTGGTCATGTGACTCACTAGACTTTAAAGCTTTGGTGGACATCTTGCTTCTAGAGAAGAGAGGAACAAAGCTTAGGCTGTCCTCAGGGGTTTCTTCCTAACTCAAGATGTTACAGTCCCTAGGAGAGACAGGAATAAGGGCTGGGCTAATCAGGGTAGTTCCTCTCTATCTTATGATATCTCATTCCTAGCGTATTTTACAGTTATTCTTGAGATCCATAGGCAAAAAAGCCTGGGTTGGGCCAAGGCCACCCAGAGGACTTTCTTGCAATTACATAATAATCCTAGGCCAAAAATTCTAGTCTTCTAATGCCTAGTTTTATGCTTTATCTTAATATTTTGTATTACTTTTATATGAGCAGTCTGAAGTCCCATTTGGATCAATTATACTACAGCTATAGTTAATAAGAAAACCTTCAAATCCTATGCTATTTCTGAAACACCATGAATGCCTTATAAAATTATTCTGAGACAAACTGAGAATATTAAAAACATTCACTGCCTCAAGTCAACATTTCATTCCACTTGTGATGTTGGAATCACATATGCTATCTCTATAAACCTGTGCAATTTGCTTTTTTTTTTTTTTGGTCTCCTGTGCTTTTATGAAATATCTGCATATAGTCTACTGGCTGGAACACTTTTTCTTTGTGCTTTCCATAGAATCCTAAATACTAGAAGCTGGATTTAGGGACAAATCTTTTTTTTTTTCCTGGCTTTTGTAGATTCAGCCAAATGCAGTTTTCACAGAGCAACTTGGAACTATATTGCGCTGTCAAATCCATGCTAACAAGGTCACGTCTCAGGTTCCATTCTGTTCTGCTGTGAAAGAGCCCCCTGTAGCATGGTCTGTTGGTTGAGCATATTGGAACAGATTCCTTCTTCATTAGGGGATGAGGGTACAGGTGGGGCATGACATGGAATAGGTGTCCTTTTTTGAGGACAGCCTTCTAGCATCAAGTGGGTCTTTAAAGAATGTGACATGTTGTATGCCTTTACTAATATCAAAATATATAGTTATTTTATAAGATTTAGAAAACTTAGAACTTTCCCTCACAAAAAAGAAAAAATAAAGCTTTCATATTCAGTTCTGTCTTCTAGTACTAGCTATGTATTATTATAGCCTGTTAATTGTTCATATATCTTTCCTAGAAAAATGGAATGATAATGTTTTACAACAGAATTGTCTTCTTTAATATATCATGAATATGTCCTACATCATTACATGTTCTTATGCAGCACCAGTTTAATGTCTGGATGATGTTCTGCTTTATAGATTTTTATATAAATGTGACAATTTATTCAACCAATCCTTAATTATCGGATACTTAAGCTGTTTTAATATTTGAAAACTATAACTATAGCAAATATCCCTCTAGTAATGTCTTTAAGCATTCATGATTATTTATTATATATTTTAAACAATGATATATACCCATCATTTTTATTCTAAAAAGTGTTTAAGACTGCTAAAAGCACATTCCACTTTGAATTTTTTTTTTAGTAGCTTATGCTCCACAGTACTGTGATCTGTTCTATGAATCCCTAGATGACCCTCCCTATGACAGTATGATTGTCCTGAGTGAGGAAGTACTGCTTAGCAAATGCCAGTGATCCAGGATTGCAGTTGCTATCATGCTATGTAGGAAGAATATTGTCAGGGATAATTTTCTTCCATTTTTTAAATATTGCATTTTCTTGTTTTTCTATTTCAAATGTACTCTGCATTGGGTCTTAATTGACCCTGGCTGATAGAAAGGCAGTCCCTCACTCCTAATACTGTGGTGGGCTTCTGATTCAGAGCAGAGGTTTGAAGAGGCCCTCTAGTCTTCATTGCACTAGCATGGCTGTGCTTGTTATATGCATGCTCCTTTTCCAAGCCCTGCAGGCCCCACAAAGGTGGGCAGTCTGTGTAAAGCCAGTCTGAGTGAGAGTAAGAGGGGAAGGGTCTGTGATCAGTTTGGAATCCTCTTGGGCCTAGGGTCCAGCCTACCTAAAGAGATCTTCCTGTCACTCTGCTTTTTCCCATCTTCCTCCTGCTCTGCTGCTTCAGAATAGCTCCTCACTCAGAAGCTTCCTTTCTCTGGAACTTATTCATGAGTAGTTGGGCGAGAATGAACAATGGCTCTCTCATTTTTTTTTTTATTCAAAATTTTTTTTTAATTGGACTGGAATTGGAGCTCAGTGGTAGAGCTTTTGCCTAACATGCAGAAGACCCAGCCCTGAGTAGGCTTCCCAGTACCTCTCTAAAAAAATTAAAATTTTTTTTTGCTAGCTAGAGGAAAACAAAAGTGTTACCTTAGTAAATTACTTTGCCATAGTTACTTTTCTTATTATTTAAAAACACAGAAAAAGTTTTTTTATGATAGTATACTATATTTGGCAGAAATAAAATTATAGTTTAAATAAGGAGATTTAGTTTTACCTTAATCAGGCCAGATATTAATTTTTGTAGAGGGAATTCTGTTGGTATTCTTTTTATTTTTTTAATATTGTTTTTAGTTGTAGATGGACACACAATGTCTTTATTTATTTTTATGTGGTGCTGAGGACCGAACCCAGTCCTTCACACATGCAAGCAAGTGCTTTACCACTGAGCTACAGCCCCAGCCCCAGCCCCCATTATTCTCTTTAAATGAAATTTTAGAGTTACAGTTTTTGGATTATCAGCACACATTCTCACTTCTCATTTAACATTTATGTATAAAAAAAAGATAAGTTCTGATAGAAAGGAG